TATGGAAGAAAATCGTGCCTTCGAGTTCTATATCATTTTCATGAGCAGCTTCAAGGATATTCATTCCAATTGGGACCTTAACATGAATTTCCTCTCCATCTTTATCAACGAAGATTACGTTTATCCTGAAATGCATGGAATATACCGGTGTATATATTATCATGTCTACATTTGTTTGTTGTCAAGAGTTGAATGATTTCTGAGATATATTTGAACTTACTTTTCTGTTTCTTTGCCGCTATTTTCAGAGGCAGTACTGAAAGATGTACAAAACTTATGACTATACGACAAAACGTCTTCCTGAAAAGTCCTAGTTCGCCTCTGTAGTACAGCCTTGTCAAAAAGAAGAAAGAGGAGATATATCAAATCGAGACAGAATTCGCAAGAGAAAATATGAAGCGAAACCACCCAACTTTCAAAGCTAATACTCCACTTACTACATAAGGCATAATATATCTAAGATACATATTTAGTATGACTTAGATATTAGGTATGACTTCTAGTTCTCTCTATATCTAGTATGAAGGTGTGGTTAGCCAAAAACCACACCTTCTAGTTCTCTCTATATCTAGTATGACTTTCAGATTTAGGTAGAACACAAAACCAAAATCGATTTCAACAAAGCTTTGACCTAATCCACAAGAAAGAATAAGTTTTTCATCTTATATGCTATCAAAACTGGGAAAGTGAAATGTCTACTCAATGAACCAACCAAGTAAGATGCATATGAAAACATGCAATGTACATAAACTTTCACAAACTGAGAACAAAGCTTAAACTAACCGAAGATCGCAAATATTGGCCATAAGACCTTTGTAGACTCCACATTCCACATTTTGGCAAATATCTCTCTGCCCAAAACACAAATCATATAGTCAAATCACTCAGACAATACATAGACTTTGCTTCCACCCAAGAACAGATTCAATTAACAATTGCAAGAAAAATTAAATATTGAAACAGAGTTAGATACCCTTTGGAAGCTCTTTGACAATGCGAGAACCTAATCTTGATAGTCTATGGAAGAACATAGTTGTTGGTGCCGCCAAAGATTATAGCTAAAACCTCGAGACAATTCAAAATTAACCTAAAATGAGTGCAAGAAAAAAGCCATGAATCTAAAGATCAGGAGAATCACCCATAACTGAAACCATAGAACAATAGCAATCGAATGAAAGACAATTCAATAGTGAAGAATCGACGACAACAAAAAAACAGAGAAAAGAAAAGGTTATTACTTTATTCAAGAATCGACTAAAAGAAAGCTTTTTTGAGTGCTTGAAGATGGAGGAAAGTGCATAAAAGAGGATTTAGGGTTCTTCGAATACGGAAGAAGACAATCTCCCCCGTCGTATAATCAAAATCTCCGTTGGT